AAGCAGATAACTATAATAAAGCCTAACAATCCCATTCCTATGAAGTTACTCAAAATAAATTAAAACACATGCGTATATGAATGTTTATAGGAATATAGGCCAAATGTACATTAACTGGTGAACAAGTAATAAATTATGGTGCATCCACACAATAAAATACTCTTCCCCTGTAAAAAGGAACAAACCATTGATACATTCAACAATACTGATGAACCTCAAAGGTTTTCACATGAAACATCTACACATTAAATGTTGGCATTTATATGACATTCTGAAAAAGGCAAAGCCATAACAACATATAAGATCAATGGTCACTAGGCATTGGGGATGAAGAGAGGGGATTGAATACAAAGGGGGCACAAAAAATTGCTTGGGGTGATACAAGTATTTTATATCTTAATTCTGGTGGTAGTTGTTTTATGACAGTACATATTTGCTAAAACTCATTGAACTGAAATTAACCTGAAGTTAATTTTATTGTATGTAAATTATTTCTCAATAAACTAACCTAAAAAATCAACAGAATAGAGAAAATATTTTTGCTGCCATTTAGGCTCAAATGATAAATAATGATGTTTTTTATAATGTACCAAGCTCCTAAAGGCAAGGTGTCAGTAATCATGGACCCCTGCCTGTTTCCACCCCTCATCTACCACTCTTTCAATGCTCATTAGTTATAGAGCACAAAGGCCCTCTCTGTCTCTAACTCTGGAAGATCATGGCAGCCTTGGGCTCTTTGTATTTGCTACCTTGCTGGGCTTTATATGATTGTGTCCTTGTCATCACTTATGTCCTAGCTCCAAAGTCACCTGTGGAAGAGGTTTCTTTGGTCACTCTCAATAAAGTAGCTACCCCCAAACCACATAACTATCACATTATATTGTATTTTCTTTTCCTCCATCGCCCTATCACTATCTGAAATTCTTATTTGTTTTCTTGTTGCTCTATGTATCTCTCCATTAGAAGGCATGGCTTTGTCTTTTTTACCTTCTAGAACAGCACCTGGACAGTAGATATACAATAAAGATTTGTCGAATGGACATATTCTTCATCAAGCTGTAGAATAGCATCTTTAAGGAGTAAACTTTCCTTTCAGATTCTCAAAATATAGCCACATAAATATTTTTACATGCTGTATTTTCACTAGCTGTTTCACAATATGAATTTCATACCATTATTTATGTGTAGTTTATTGTGAAGAACACTAGACTGAGAGTCAAGAGTTCTAGATTCTAGCTTTGATCCTGCTGCTACCTGAAAGACACTGTACCCTTGGGTCAGCAATTCCATTTCTAGGAATTTATCTCAAGGAAAAAAATGGGCATGTGTACAAACAGAACACACCATGATGTTCATCCAAGTGTATTAATAATAGCAAACATTTAAAGGAAGATAATTTCATACAAAGGAGTTTTAGCTAAATAGACTGTGGTTTATCCATTAATGTCCCACTGTGAATTCATTTGAAAATGATGATTAAATTAATGTTGTTACTTATACAATAAACGTTCATTTGCCAATTTCAGTCACCATTGTAGGTGCTGAGAATACAGCAATGAATGAAGAAAAGGCCCTGCACTCGTGAAACTTGTATGTTGGTGGGGAAGAAAGACAATGAAAATAAATAAATATACTATGTAATACGATATTAGATGATGATAAGTTCTATGAAGAAAGGATAATGCACAGTGAAGGGATTTGGGGCATCCCCCAAGAGAATAATTAGGGAACTTGCTATTTGATATAGAGTGACTAGGAAAGACCTCTCTGAGAAGGTCACATTTGAACAAAGGCCTGAATGAAGTGAGAAACTGAGGCATGTAAATATAGGTGGGAAAGAGTTCCAGGCAAATGCAATGGTCCTGAGGCAGGAGTTACAGCGACAATTTTGAGGGTAAGAAAAAAGGTCTGTAGCTGGAGAAGAGTGAGCATGGGGGAAAAAAATAGCAGGAAATTATACTGAGGCAGCAGCCAAGGACTGGATTTTGTACATCCTTCTATAGGCCACTTGAGGACATTATATTTTATTGTAAATGTGATCAAAAACCTTGGAGATTTTCAAATAGAGGAGTTGTCAGAGCTGTCTTATATGTTAAGACTGTGATAAATAGGCTAAGGGAAGATGAAAGTGGGAGCAAGGAAACCTTTTAGAAAGCTATTTCAGAAGTCTGGTGTCCAGCCTGTGGCGTGGACTAGGGCCATAGCAATGGGAATGGTGAAAGTTGGTTATATTTGGGACTTGTACTTATTCTTAAAAAACTAATACAAAAGTCAGGTATGATAGTCTCAATGGCATATGGAAGAAAGAGGACTAACAGATAAATCTTTAGATTTGAGTCTTTGAAATTGAGTGAAGTGCAATGGAGTAAAAATGTGTGCTACTGTTGGATAAGGGGGTCTGAGTACAAAGAAGAGTGTGTTGCCAGGGCCTGGGTGTCACCTGGATATTATCACCTGGATGAGATCCCACTAAGAAGTGAGAGCTGAGTCTCGGGGCAATTCATAGGATCAAATGTGCCAAATGTTGCTGAGGGTGGAAGAAAATGAGGACTAAGAATGACCACTGGAGGCCCTGGTGTAGACCACATTGGCTTTAGTAAGAGAGAAAAGTCTGATTGGGATATGCCTACAAGTGAATGCATTTCTTCAACAAATACATTGAAATTGGGGAAGGGGGGTGCGCCTGGGTGGCTTAGTCGGTTAAGCGTCTGACTTTCGCTTAGGTCATGATCTCACGGTTCGTGGGTTCGAGCCCCGCGCCGGGCTCTGTGCTGACTGCCAGCTCAGAGCCTGGAGCCTGTTTCAGTCTGTGATTCCCTCTCTCTCTGACCCTCCCCTGTTCACGCTGTATCTCTCTCTCTCTCCTAGAAATTAAAAAAAAAAAAACAAAAAAAACAATGAAAGGTCAGGGAAAGCTCAGTTTTCTTATGTCTGTGGCCTATGCAAATCTGCCTGTTATATTTTGCTCTTCTAGCATAGATGAGATGATAACATATTTTGTTTGTTAAATAAACAAACCCAAGACTTTATAAAAACTATATAAATTCTGAGATATGGAAAANCTGTTTCAGTCTGTGACTCCCTCTCTCTCTGACCCTCCCCTGCTCACGCTGTCTCTCTCTCTCCTAAAAATAAATAAAACATTAAAAAAAAAAAAGAAATTGGGGAAGGGGGGAAGGGACGCAACTGAGATAGGGAAGGCTGTTACAAAGAAAACCACAGGCCCAACGTGGAGTCAGGTGTCACAGGACAGCAAACCAAGACTTGAATGCAGATTTAACCTTTTTAGGAGTGGAATATTAAACCAATCAATCTGGAATTTTCTGGTCAGCACCGATGAGGTAATCTATCAATCACATGAATCCTCTCCATTACCCCCCACCTCCCAAAGGAAGATGAAGTAATCTTCACAACAAGGCCCCTGCTCTTCCCCCTAAGGGAATGTAACCTTGTATGAAACAATCCTCTCTTCTGCTAATAACTTCCTTGTTCCAACACTCTTTTCTATAAAAATCTTCCATTTCATACAAATCTTTGGAGTTCTCCTTTACTTGCTAGACGGGATTCTGTCCAATTCATGAATAGATTAATAAAACCAATTAGATCTTTAAAATTTACTGGGTTGAATTTTTGTTACTTAATAGAACTTTTAGATTAAAAGGTAATTAAATGAAATATCAGCCAGTCATGAAGGCTTATTGGATACTGAAATTATTGGTAGCCAAATAATGACTTGATTCTGATGATTTAAATACTTACTAATTTATTTTTATTTAAAACATTTTTTAAACATTTATTTATTTTGAGAGATAGACAGAGCGTGATAGGGAGGGCAGAGAGAGAGGGACCTGCAGAATAAGAAGTAGGCTCCAGGCTCTGAGCTGTCACCCCAGAGCCTGATGTGGGGCTAGAACTCATAAACCACCAGATCATGACCTCAGCCGAAGTCAGCCGCTTAACTGACCAAGGCACCCAGGCACTCCGCTAATTTATTTTTAAATGAAATAATGGTTCTGTGGTTATGGAAGAAAATAAGAGTCCTTCTAGTTTAGAGATATATGTTGAAATGAAATAATGTCTAGATCTAATGGGTAGATACTCGTTGAAGGTGGAGGACCAGTACACTGCTCTTTCTACTCTTGTATATACTTGGAACCCCATAATTTTATTAAAAAATGAAGTCAAATAATCTTAAAGATGTAAAGTTGAGAACTTTGATCAGAATAATCTTATTTTTTTGTGTCCCATCTGCTCTGTGAGATTCCCACAAATTTATAAACGTGTGACTTATAAAATAACCTCCAAAAGCAATCTTTAACTGATATCTTTTTTAATTTGTTAATCTGTTACCTGGAAATATAATTAGATATATTTGAATTCCTAAATGAAAATATATGTGAATAGTCAGTGAGGAAATGAAAATTGAGAATATCTTATTGATTCCCAACCGTGTTCACAAATATCTCCAGTTTAAAAATTAAGCATATAGAATTCAAACACAAAATTTTAATGTTATTTTCAACAGTGGGGTTATAGTAGATATAATTTTTTAAAAATATCTGCTTATCTGCATTTTCTAACTTTTACATAAGGCACATGGATGAGTTGTTTAAGTTTAGGTGTTTAAAACAAAGGGAAAGGAAAGGGGAAAAGGAACGGAGCTACCAGCTGTTACTTTCAATGACATAAAGTACTAGCACATTCTCGCTCGTTCGTAATCTCTCAGGCAACTCCACAGCCGAATGGCGGGAGATATGCACAGGCGCTTTAGCAAGACTTTGGTCTGAGGCGGGACTAGGGCCTCGGCTAAAAGACAGCACTTTCAGCCAATCAAGGGACAGAGTCAGTGGCTTCTTCCTGGAGGAGGTGGCCGGAAGCCGGATTTCGGTTGCGGAGGCGAAGGCGGCTCCCGTGTAAACCCTGAGCTGAGGTGAGTGGGCGGAGGCGGCTTGGGGTTCGGTTCCGCGTGCGTTTCTCCTTCCGGACCTCGGGGTTTTCTCTGGGCGGCCTGGGAATGGAGGAGGCCTGGCCCGGAGTATTCTCTGTTACCTTCCTCTCCTGGGTCCCTAGGAGAGCAGGGACTCGCTGCTGCTGCTGTTGGGGAGCCGGGCGGAAGGTGCCCTGGGCCTGACGGGCTCAGGGCTCCCTTCCTCCGTCTAGGGGGGCGGAGGCGGACTGCAGGTTGGGAGACCAAGAGTTCTAGGCCCTCGCTGCTGTTTTGCTAACCTGTGTGGCCTAGGCGACTCCTTTGGCCTCCCGGCCAGTGTCATTTGACAATGGCCATCTCTGCCTTTCCTCCTGCAGGAGCAGTCCGGGGGGCGGGGGTGGGGTGGGGGAGGAGGCTGGAAGAGGGTCGCCGATCCCACTGGAGAGGTTTTATTTTATTTGCTTATTTTTGAGAGAGACCGCGTGTGAGCAGGGGAGGGGCAGAGAAAGAGACCCGAAATCCGAAGCAGGCTCAGGCTCCAGGCTCTGAGCTCAGCGGGGCTCGAACCCACCAGCCGTGAGATCATGACGTGAGCCAGGGTGGGAGGCTTACCCGACTGAGCTACCCAGGAGCCCCTCGGGGGAGGTTTTAAAAAAAGCTACATTCTAGAGGTCCCATTCGCGGTAGGCGAAATGAATCCTATGTCTAGGGGTGGGATCTTGGAATACCTTCCTTTTTTGGTAAAGCCCCCAGCGTGGAACAAACACTAGAAGGTGGATCTTAAATCTGATACCGTCTGTAACGCTTGGTGCTGCATTTACTAAAGACAGTGCCTTTGAAAAGTTCATTCTAGAAAAGGGATAAAGTTTCTGTAATATGCCAAGTTCCTTTTGTACAGTTAGAAGATTCATCGTTTACTGATTTAAGAGAGCTGGTACTTTGCAGCCAAAAGGACCTGGGATAAGAATTCCCGCTGTGCTTCTTGCTAGTCTTTTGATCTGGTGCAAACGCTTCATTTCAGTGAGACTCTGGATCTTCTTCTCTGAGATGAAACTGACAATAGTACTTAACTCAGAATTGTTAGGAAGACTAAGAGAGGATACAAAATGTACCTGTCACATAGTTGGCCTTTGGAAAATGGCTTAAGTGGCGTGAAACCTGGGCGGCCTAAAATTGATTTTGGAGCACCGGATCAGTGCGAATTCTCAGATTTTGGTAGTAATGTGGTTATAAGGGAAGTGGGGGAACATGTTAACATTTGGAGGATCTGGGTGAAGAATATGGAGAATTCTTTGTACTTTTCGCACAACTTTCTGTAAGTCTGAATTTATATTGGTTTTTAAAAAGTTACCACTGTTGTCAGCCATTATGCGTTGTAAGCGAAACGGTACACAGTGTTTATAACCCTCCCATTCCATGTAATTTCACCCCTTTTTCCTTTAGGACCGCCTTATATAGAAATATCTTATCCACCCCTCATATTGATGAAGTCATGGGTTATTTCCACTTTCCTTACTCTTTTCAAACAGCGCTGCATTAAACATCCCTAACACACAAGTTTATGTACTTGTGCCAATATTTGCATAGAATAAATTTCTAGAAGTAGAATTGTTGCTTCAAAGAATATCAGCATTTAAAATTTTGATACTGCTAAATTAAATTCCAAATATATATTTGTGTATGAGAATTGCCCCATATTCTCTTGGGTGGTACTGGCTCAACAGCCAAGAGTGTTACCTACGTGGTGGTCGTGAGGATGGCTTCTAGGAGAACTGAGGTGGGTCCTCTCCTCCAAACAGGTTTCCCTAGGGCCAGAATAGCTAAGAGCTTGCTTCTGAAGCTGGGATGACACTGAAGAAAATGGGAGAAAGGAGAGTGTGACCTCTGTGGAATCCAGTGCCTGTCACAGAAGGTGTAATATTTATTGAACATGGGATATTTGAAATCTTGATAGTCTGTTAGATGAAATTCCTTAAAATTTGCTTTTAAAACTGTACTAGTCTGGGGGCACTTGGGTGGCTCAGTCGGTTGAGCGTCCGACTTCGGCTCAGGTCATGATCTCACAGTTAGTAGGTTTGAGCCCTACATCAGGCTCTGTGCTGACAGCTCAGAGCCTGGAGCCTGCTTGGGATTCTGTGTCTTTCACTCTCTCTGCCCCTCCCTCACTCGCGTTCTCTCCGACTCTCAATAATGAATAAACATTAAACATTTTTTTAAAAAAGTGTACTAGTCTGAATATTTTCCTGCTTTTATTCAGCATTTGCATTTTCCTTGTCTTCTTTTGTCTATTTTTCTATTTTTTAAAAAAAAGCTTTAAAAAAATTCCTTTGTTGGACCTTTTTTGACCTATCTTCTAGTGCTGGAGGTAGAGCTGTGAACAAGACAGGCAGTTCCTGAAGTCCTGGTACTTTCTTTCTAGTGGAGGTGGAGCCAGAAAATATGTTTTTAAAAAGTCAAAATAAAATTGCTATTATTTGCTCATTTTTAGACTTGCATTGTTCTCCCAGAAGAATGGGGTTATCTTTTCATTTTGCTTAATGGTGTATTTTCCATTGTGGAATTTTTAGATTTACTTCTGGTAGTTTGATCTGTCAGTCTTTTGTGGTAGTCTTAAAACTTGTAGTTAGTGATTTAGTTATTTTTGTGTCTTCTTTCCTTGATAGATTGTAAGCAACTAGAATGGAGGTAGTGTTTTTTTTATCTTTGAAAGATAGTATAGTGTAGTGTTTGACGTCTCTAGCTTCTGGATCCTCCCTCTCTCTACTACTTTGTGATGTTATGCAAGTGGTTCAACCTTTCTGAGCCACAATGGTCTCCTCTCCAAAACAGAAAGAGCAGCTTTGCTTATAACCATGAGAAAAGTATTTATAACTGTCTGGCACATAGTATGTCTCATATATTATCTGTTGTCATAATCATCATCCCTGGATACTCATCGTCCCATATCAGACAAGCAGTAAACAGTCAAAAGCGTGAATACACACTGAGGATGTTTGTACCTACTTCCAAATTCCCATTCATTTGGAGCTGCTCAACAAATATTTATGAAGCTTCTATGTACAAGGTTGTGGACATAGAACTATGATAGACAGAGTGCTTCCTCTTATGGAGCTGGTAGTCTGGTCAGGGAGAGAAATGAAATACTAGTTCAGAGAATAAAAGAAGGAAGGTAGGATCTGCTTTTGATGAATAAGCAAGTGAGTTTTTCTTTAGGGGTGACATTTCAATCTATTGCCTGAAGCAGGAAGAAAAGCATGTGGAAAGACTCAAAGAAGAGGTTATAGTTAATAGTAAAAGAGTAGTGTAAAAATATTGAAGACAGTACTGCTAGGACATGGGGAGAAGGAATGTGGGACGTTGCTATCAGTGGAAGAACAGTATAGTGAAGGTGGAGGTAATTCTTTTTTTAAAGTCTGAATGCTTAATGAGACATCCAGAAAAAGCTGAGGCAGTGTCCAGCGGAGGTAGAAAGTAGAGAGTCCTAAATCATAGACCAGGCTTCTCCACTTTGGCACAATATACTGACATTATTAGGGCTGGATAGTTCTTTGCTGGGGCTGTCATGTAAATGTTTAGCAATGTCCGAAGCCTCTACCCATTAGATGCCAGTAGCACCCTATCCCCTAGTTGGGACAAGTAAAAATGTCTCCAGACTTTGCCATATGTCTCCTAGTGGACAAAATTGCCCTTGGTTGAGAACCGCTGATAGAAATGGTGTTAAAAGCCATAGAATTGAATGAGATTACCCAAGGGAGAATATAAAGCAGAGATCTAAAACTATTGGCCTGCAGACCACAAATATTGTTGTAGGTAAGTTCTTTTTGACTCCACAGAACTTGGCATTCCTGGAAATAATTATCAGTATTTAAAAATTGAGAGAGTCTGCATAAAACCTGGATTTTTGCCCTCTTTTCAGAAATCAGGAAACTGAGGAGCAATGATTCTTCATTCTCACATGAAATTTAATGGCTGGAACTGGAGGCTTTGAGATCTGGCATGCATGTGCTTAATTCATCTGAATCCTCACCCCAGAGTGCTTCACTGTTTTTGTTGCTTGCCTTTTCTTTCCCTTTGGCACTTGAGTTTGTGATTCCCTACTTTAGAGTGAGAAGAGGGCCCCAGAGCAACCCTCCGAGGCACGCCAACATTAAAATTTGCATGGAGTAGGGGCGCTGAAGGAGACTGAGAGGGAGTGGGCAGTGAGGTAGAAGGGAAACCTAAATGTAGGTTCACTGAAGCCAAGGGAGAAGGAAAGCGTGTTGAAAAAGAAGAAAATGCTGAGGAATGATTGAGTAAAATCACCTCTGAAAAACATCCATTGGATTTACTTGTGTGGTGATTGTTGTTGACCTTGATGAATAGTTTTTGTGGAGTTAGTAGGTTGAGGCCAAAATGGGTGATGACAGAAATGAATATGCAGAAGCAGGGAATTAGGAGTTGATAAAGTTACAATAAAATCATGATGCCCTTGACCACTGCCTCATTTATTCTCAGCAGCAGCATCCTCACCATTGTGACTCGGTAGAAACTCAGGGCTGCTCCACAGCTGTCCTTACCACCTCACAAATTCCCAGTGTAAAACTGCCTCCAGTACATTACTTGTCATCTTTGGTGTTGGATGGTGGTGGTATACCTTGAAAATCTGATATGATCAGTTTAAATGAGCACTCAGGATCTTCTCATTTTATCATATACCTAAGCTTAAAACACAGCCTTTATTTAGAGGTTATGTGGCCTTAGAGAATACATTTGAATTTGAATTTCTGTAGTTGATGTAAAAAGTTACTGTGTCCATAAAAAAATGTAGCATACATTGCAGAAAAAAAGTTATGAAATTGGATCATTTCATCAAAGAAGCTCACATGATTCCAGCTGTCTGAATTTATAGCAATATTAATTTTGTCAAAGTATTTATTAGACTTATAAGTAAGTTTTTGCTCTTGGAGATCAATCTCTAATATAAAACAAAAGTGATTGTGGCATGAGATGGGGAGATAGCATGTGTAATTTGGCTATAGAGAGGAGCAGAGAAATGGCATAACTGGTGAGGAATCCAGATTTTACTTATAGATGCAAACATACTGATGTGCTGGTGAAAATATTAACCAGAGAAGGAAAAGTTGTTGGATGATTGAAGATATAATGCTAATTAGAAAAAGATGGCAGCCTTCCCCTGTTGTTTTTGACACTAAGGAGATCATTTTGTCCTGGGCCCCAAATAGCCAAGGAAAGAAAAGGAAAATACTCTGTCTGTAGTACACAATGTGACAGGTTTGTTTTGTAGCTCTATTCTAAATCTTTGGTTTATTTCCATAGGTTTTTGATCTTCCGCAATGGGTGAGCCACAACAAGTGAGTGCCCTTCCACCACCTCCAATGCAGTACATCAAGGAATATACAGATGAAAACATTCAGGAAGGCCTGGCTCCCAAGCCCCCACCTCCAATAAAAGACAGTTATATGATGTTTGGCAATCAGTTCCAATGTGACGATCTTATCATTCGCCCTTTAGAAAGTCAGGGCATCGAGCGGCTTCATCCTATGCAGTTTGATCATAAGAAAGAACTGAGAAAACTCAATATGTCTATTCTTATTAATTTCTTAGATCTCTTAGATATCTTGATAAGGAGTCCTGGGAGTATAAAACGAGAAGAGAAGCTAGAAGATCTTAAGCTGCTTTTTGTGCATGTGCATCATCTCATAAATGAATACCGACCCCACCAAGCAAGAGAGACCTTGAGAGTCATGATGGAGGTGCAGAAACGTCAACGCCTTGAAACAGCTGAACGGTTTCAGAAACATCTGGAACGAGTCATTGAGATGATTCAGAATTGCTTGGCTTCTTTGCCTGATGATTTACCCCATTCAGAAGCAGGGATGAGAGTAAAAACTGAACCAATGGATGCTGATGATAGCAACAATTGTACTGGACAGAGTGAACAGCAAAGAGAAAATTCAGGTCACAGGAGAGACCAGATTATAGAGAAAGATGCTGCCCTGTGTGTCCTCATTGATGAAATGAATGAAAGACCATGAAGGATGTTTCCTTTTCTTTTTGCTTTTCCCTTTTCAGTAAATGGCATATATTGGTTAATTTGTTCTCGAAGAGTCTTAAAAGACATCTATCTAGAAGTCATGTACATGGCTTGACTCCAGCCTTATCAATGATGAGATGTCACAGGCCATAATTTCACTTTATGACAAACATAGGCAAATGAGTGTGCATACATTAAGGGTAATCGCCTTAAGCAAAGTGCTTCAATTGTGTGAAACTTTCCTGGTTTTGGAGTTGCATAGAATGTTGGAGATATCCTCAGTAATAGCAGGCTTTCATCTTTGAAAAGTAGATTTGCCATTTGCTTTAAGAATGATAGATAAATAAAGGATAACAGCCGAGTAAATGTGAAATTCTAAAATCTTTAGATTTATTTTGCTTAAAAATTTACTTGATCTCTAAAAAAGTAGTAGAACAGGCTAAAAGAGAGGAACCCTATAGAGTTATAAAACAGCAGTTTTGTTTTTCCTCTCTATTGCTTCTGTAAACATACTATCTGAGCTCCTTGTCCCTACCCTGGATAGGTCTCAATTTTTTCCCCACTCAGATAATAAATCCTTTGATCATTTTTAATTACAATCATTTTTGTAATTGTCTATGTAATGAGCTCTACATTTTCTTTAAAGCTATACTCAAGACTTGATAAGGCTGGAAGCCTGCAGTGGGAAGGGGATTTGGTAGCAGAGACTATTGGATAGTGTACTGGAGATTCTCGTTCCTTAAGATGTGGCTCCCCTGCTAGGGTCTACATTTTTTTACTCCTCTTGGGTCTGCATACAGCCATGGGGCTAAGTCCTTAGCAGTGGAGTATGGATGTAAAACTTCAGGCCTTTTCCGTAAATTTCTCGCATGTTCCTCCATTCCCTTCTCATCTGCTGGTTGGATGGCTGCACCTAGGATGACTGGAAGCCACTTGAAGATGATAAAGGTTCAGTCAGTTGGATCTTTGAGTGAATAGGACTAGGTCCTCCTTTTACCATCCACCCACCCACCCTAGTTGATTTGACCATGAGCAAGAAGTCAGCTTGTTTTGAGCACTGAGATTTTATTTCTGCACTTTTCTGCCCTCCATCCTTTCTTCCACCAGTAGCTTGGTGGAGAATCTGCTTTGTTTCTGAAGTTCTCTTCTGGTCTTTCCCTTTATGTAGGCCAGTGGTTCTCAGAGTGTTATTCAGCAACATTGCATCACTTGGGTACTTGTTAGAAATGCAGATTCTCAGGCCTTAAATCTACTGAATCAAACTCCATGGGTAGGGCCCAAAAAGCTGTGGTATAAAAAGCCCTCAGGTTCTCATACACACTCAAGCTTAAGAATCACTGATGAAGGTAGTGCCTTTTCCCAGATGTCCCTTTTGAAGTCTTCCCTCAGTTCTTGGCTTCCAGGATATCACCCTTCAGGGATTTGCTCTATTAAGGTTTCTAGTTCTAGAGCTGGTGAAGTCCAGTTTAATGTGGCCACAGGGCCTATTCTGTAACATTCATGAATCCTTTTCTTTAAGAATCTTGGGAATAGAGATTTTTGCCAAATAGATACTTCTCTATTAGGCAGCTAGTTGGCCAGTCCAATTATTTTTATTTTCTGTTACATGTTTGGTATAGATCTTTGGGCTCAGGGAATACAGTCCAGGCTCTCTTAAGCTTAAATTGAAGTGGGGGTGGGGAGCCCCACAGCTGCTTGTGGAGGGAGCAGCTGGACATTGCGTAACACTTGAGCAACTCTCCAAAGAAATCTCTTTCCTTTGACCTCAACCCTTTGTTAACCTTGAGGGTGCTGGGCCAAGAGGTACTAAACCAGTTTTTGGCTTGCTTTGCAGCTCTTGCATGGAAAAAAGCATAACATTACAAGAGTCACAACATCATTTGTGTGTGTGTGTGTGTTTATGGAGGATTAGGGATTAAAATTCCATGAGGATTCTTAAATTCTGAGTTCAGAGGATCTGATCTTTCAGGTCTAGGTGACACCTGACCAAAACTCTAATGAACTCTAACGTGAACTGCAATTACAATGAGATGAAGGAACAGTAGTGATCTGATAATTGTTACAAGTTTAAAAGTTAATATTGTCTTTCAGCTTGTGAGGGTCAAAATACATCTCTGTTGGGGCACCTGGGTGGCTCAGTCGGTTAAGCGTCCGACTTTCGCTCAGGTCATGATCTCACGGTTCGTGGGTTCGAGTCCCGTTCGAGTCCCACGTCGGGTTCTGTGCTGACTGCCAGCTCAGAGCCTGGAGCCTGTTTCAGTCTGTGACTCCCTCTCTCTCTGACCCTCCCCTGCTCATGCTGTCTCTCTCTCTCTCTCTCTCCTAGAAATAAATAAAACATTAAAAAAAAACAAAAACAAAATACATCTCTGCATTCCTAGTAATAATATTCCTGATAGACTGATTCCTCAAAGTGAGATATCTGGGATAACCTGGCACTTCTTGAAATTATTAATGCCCAGACCATAGAGATTCTGATTTCATTGTTCTGGAGTGGACCTTGGGCACTGGTTTCAAGAAATCTAGATGACTTGACTCTGGAGTGGGTTAAAGGAGTATTGTGTTCATACTTTGCTCTCCCTAGTTGAAGCAAAAAGACAAATTTTTGAAATGATACTATGCTGTTAACATGATCACAGGATAAACTGAACATCCAGACTGTTAAGAGGTGGGGGAGAGGGGAAGGGGGTGATGGGCATGGAGGAAGGCACTTGTTGGGATGAGCACTGGGTGTTACATGGAAACCAACTTGACAATAAACTATTTAAGAAAGGGGGAAAAAAAGAGCCAGGAACAGGACAGTGCACTATCCTTTAGGAATCAGGGTGTCCACAGTTCAAGTCTGCTAATGAACTTCAGTCCCAGGACTCCTACTGCAACATTTGTTAAAGAGCTGTATCTCTCCACCAGGCTTGTCAGGCTGATAAGACATGAATCTAATGCTGCCAGTGGCCATCTTGCTACCAACTGGAAAAAGCTTGACATACATCTAGAGTAACACCCAAAAAGCTCAAAATCAAGAATTGAAGAGAAATGGATTCCTGGAGACATGGTTTGAGCACCTGGATCCAATTATATTTTCAGGAACACACTCTAATGTCATAGTTGGACAAGCCAATGGCTTAGCTTTCTGTCCGTACATCAGTTCAAGTTGGGTTTTTGAGATGTAAAATGAAAACAATCACCCAGGAAAAACATAACTGATGGGACAATTCACAGACTTCTCTGAATCTTGGACTCCCTCTAAAATATTATTAAGTAAGAAGAGAGGTTAAGTGGGTTGGCACAGAGAGTGCTGAGTGATATGAAACTGGAGTGGATAGTCTTATGGGCTATTTGTGAGTGGAGAAGGGGTACTAGGGAAGCTGAGGAGAGGGGAGAGGGTGAGGGTGGAGTGTTCTAGTAAATGTTTCTAGAGTCTAATAACCATGTATTTAGGTCTTCTTTAATGTCCTTCAGAGATGCTGGAAGAATAGAAGTCCTTTATAATCGCATTTGGGGGGTGGGTGAGAGTAGATTGTTCTAGTAAATGATTCTAGAGTCTAAGGTCCTATATTTAGGTCTTTAATGTCCTTCAGAGATACTGGAAGAATAGATACCCTTTTTAACTACATTTGACATTTAAACTGAGCTACTTGAACCTGACATTGCTGTGTTTATGGATCATGTAGGACTCTAGGTTTATAATTTTTGTGTAGCACAGTTTGTAAGGCAAAGAATACTTTCTCTTCAATTTTAATTCCTCTGTTTACATGTTTTGTTTTGACTTGAGAAATCTTCACAAATGTCTACAAACTTTATTGCTTCCTAATATTAATATCCATATAAGAATGATAAAGTAGAATTATGAAGGGACTAATATGAAACTATACAAATGTCCAAGTTTTGAGGATAGTTTTATTTTAAAAAACAGACTAAGAGAAAGACTTGATTTTATCCAGAGACTCTTTTTTTTTAGAAAATATAAGTGTTGCATTTCATAATGAAATCTATACTAAACAAAGGTCTCTTGTTTTTGTTGTCTGAACTGATTTGGATAAATTTCTGGGGGCCAGACTTTGGTTGGCAGTACAGATAGATGATGACTTAATTACGCACTGGTTTTCTCAGAAAGGTAGCATAGGCCTGGCCAGAGCACCGTCTCATCAAGCCAATATCATCATGGTGTTGGAACCATGGCTCTCTTGCCTTTTCATGTTATTTTGGAGTCCTGAACTTTTTTTTTTTTACAAATAGTTTATTGTCAAGTTGGTTTCCATATAACACCCAGTGCTCATCCCCATTGGAGTCCTGAACTTTAAATGCCAGTGTTGAGGATGCATATGAGTAAATGAATGATAATCCAACAGTATAAATGTTACTTGAGGTCTAGTAGACGAAGAAATGCTTATTGCCCAAAGTTGAAAAAGCAAAGGGTCAACGAAGACAGAAGCCAGCTAAGACTTAAGTCTTTATTTTTTGGTGAGAGTCTATCCAAAGTATTGGGCCTAGTTTTGTTCTGGCCCCTGTGAGATTTGGAAAGAATTTGGGAAAGGGGAGCAGTGTCTAAAGGAAGGGGCAAGAAAACCTGTGAAGTTAGCTTCACAGAAGTGGGGGTAACTCAGCAGAGAAGGCAGAGGGGCCACGGAGAGAGCGGCCCTCAGAATCTTGGGTGGTGACAAACCATGGACAGGTGTTCTTGTCAAGAGGGACAAGCAGCAGCAAATGGGTTTATGATGTAACTAGAACATTTTAGATTACAGCAAAGGAAAAATTTAATGGTGAAAGGTTCTTCTCAGAAATTCTGTATTCTCATCCAATAAAATATTTGAAATAAAAAAAAAACCACCTAGTTTCAAAATCTAAGCATTCAACCTCCATACTTAAGCACCTTTCTACTGCATCATATAAGTCATTGTGGAGCCTAGAATAGAATCCCATATTTTGACCCTAAAGTCCATACTCTAAGATACTACACAATACTGGGTTGAGGGAAGAACAGATTGTAGATGGAAATTATGAGCTTCTTGAATATGTGAAGACATTTGTGTTTTAGACTTCTGTAGGTATCTTAAGGAGATACTGTGCTTACAGTGCAAATGTTCCATAAAAACCACTCTTGGCAGGTATTATGGCATTTTATGAAACTGAGGACCAGTTTTGTGGCTTGCCCAGGTGGTATATCCAAATTAGAATATAGGTCAGGAGTTGACAAATTTTTTCTGTAAAGAGCTGGTTAGTAAATAATTCAGGCATTGAAGACCATAAGGTCACAACTACTGAATTATGGTACAAAAACAGCCATAGACCATACCTGGGTAAATGAGTGTGGCTATGTTCCAATACAACTTTATAGGCACTGAAACTTGAATTTAAATAATTTTCAAATGTTATAAAGTATTCTTTTTATTTTTTTAAAATCTTTAATGTTTTCTAAATTTATTTCTGAGAGAGACAGAGTGAGCAGAGGAAGGTCAGAGAGAGAGGGAGACACAGAATCCAAAGCAGTCTCCAGGCTCTAAGCTAGCTGTCAGCACAGAGCCTGATGCGGGGCTCAAACCCACGAACCGCAAGATCATGTCCTGAGCCAAAGTCAGACGCTTAACCGACTGAGCCACCC